GGTGCTGTTCTGGCCACGTTCACCAGGGAGCCCCGCTCCAGTCTCTACGTTCTCCACACCGAGCGCTCCCCGGTCGCGTCCTCCCCTCAGGTCGTTGCGTCCCCTCCGGCCCAGGTCCCCAGTCCAGTTGCTGTGTCTAGCCAGGTAGTAGTGTCCGGTCCGGTAGCTGTGTCCAGTCCAGTCGTTGCGTCTTGCTCCTGTCGCTCTCTCACCCACCGCACCGTCCTGTGGCACCACCGCCTTGGCCACCCGTCGATCCCTCGCCTACGTGGCATGCTCAGTCAGGGACTTGTCTCAGGTCTCCCACGCACCTTCCCGTCGCTCCCTCTCTCGCTTGCCCCTCCTTGCTCTCCGTGCGTCGCCGGTCGCTTACGCGCCACTCCCCACTCCTCCTCCCTTCGTCCGGCCACCGCTCCCTTCGAGACTCTCCACTTGGACGTCTGGGGCCCTGCCCCGACGCAGGGGTCTGGGAGGGAGCGTTACTTTCTGGTGGTCGTCGACGACTTCTCCAGGTACACCATATTGTTCCCTCTTGCGAAGAAGTCCGAGGTGACTGCTACGCTGATCAGGTGGCTTCTAGCCACTGAGGGCACTCGTGGTCGTCGAGTCAGTTGTCTCCACTCCGACCGTGGGGGCGAGTTTCGCTCCGGCATTCTCGGCGGATTCTGCGGCGAACAGGGCATCACCCAGTCCTGGACGCTGCCAGAGTCCCCACAGCAGAATGGGGTTGCTGAGCGCCGCATAGGCTTGGTCATGGACATCGCCCGCACGTCCATGATCCATGCCCGTGCGCCCCATTTTCTGTGGCCCCACGCGGTTCGCTACGCCGCACACCAGCTGAACCTCCAGCCGCGTGTCTCGCGGCCCAAGGTTTCACCGACCAGTCTTTGGACTGGTTCCCCTGGTGTCGGGTCGGCCTTTCGAGTCTGGGGCTGCCTTGCACTTGTTCGCGACACCTCCGCGGACAAGCTCTCGGCACGCGCCGTCCCCTGTGTCTTCCTTGGTTTCCCAGTGGACTCTGCCGACTGGTCCTTTTACCACCCTCCCCTCCACCAGTTCCTAGACTCCCGTGACGTCCGGTTTGATGAGTCCGTGTCCTACTACACCCGGTACCCCTGTCGAGGTCTCCCGGTACCCCCTCCCCCTCTTTTCCTCGCACCCTCTCCTCCTCCTGCTCCCGCTCCTCCGGTACCCCCGCCCCCCCCTGGTCCTGCCCCGTCTGGTGTGTCCCACGCTACCCCTCTACCCTCGGTCGCGCGTCAGGTAGCGTCTCCCTCCCCGCAGTCCTCCTCACAGTCCCCTCAGCAGCCTTCGGCACTTCCGCGACAGGTTACTGTGGGCTCGGTTGGTGTTGGAGCTGGAGGTGCAGGCACTGGCGGTACTCGGTCTGGGGGTACTCGGTCGCGGGGTGCTAGAGCTGGAGGTGCTGGCGCAGGTGGCGCTAGCTCTGGGGGTTCTGGAGCTGGAGGTGCTGGCGCAGGTGGCGCTAGCTCTGGGGGTGCTGGAGCTGGAGGTGCTGGCACCGGTGGTGCTAGTTCTGGGGGTGCAGGAGCTGGAGGTGCTGGCACTGGCGGTGCTAGTTCTGGGGGTGCTGGAGTTGGAGGTCCTGGCACTGGAGGTGCTGGTTCTGGGGGTGCTGAGTCTGAGGAGTCTGACCCTGGTTCTGCGGAGTCCACTCCGCCTCCCCACCACCACGACACACGACTCCAGGCTGCCCGCCGGCGCGAGCGTGAGGAGCAGGAGCGGTTGGAGAGGGAGCGGCAGGAGCTGTGGGTGCTGGACCTTCTGGAGCAGCAGCGGCAGCAGCAGCAGCAGCAGCAGCAGCAGCAGCCGCAGCAGCAGCCGCAGCAGCAGCAGCCGCAGCCGCAGCCGCCGCCGCAGCAGAAGCAGCCGCAGCCGCCACCGCAGCTTCCTCTGGAGCGGCGGTTGTTCCCACCTGTGAGTGGCCTGCGGGCCCTTGGTTTTTCCTCCTCTCCTCCTGTCCGCTCCCAGTCTCCTCCTGTGTTTGTTCCTCCGTTGCCTCCTCCTGACGACCGTCCGGCGGTCTGGTCTTCTCCTCCTCCCCAGTCTCCTCCTCCTTCGGTCCGTCGCGACTTGGTCACTCGTTGTCCTCCGCGTGCTCGTCACTCGTCCCCTGTTACTGACCTCCACACTGCCCTCCTTTGTACGTCTCGTCGTCGTTCTCCTTCTCCTGTGTCCGTTCTCCCGTCTCCTCCTCCGTCCTCTCTCCCAGCCCTCCCCACTCCTATCACTGACTACTACCGCACTGTTCGTCCAGTTGTCGCACGTGTCCTCGCCACTCTTGTCACCGACTCTCGTTTCCCTCCGTCGTCTGCCTCCGCTCTTACAGCCGCTGTCGCTGAGTTTGCTGCCGCCAGCCGCCTTGACTACGCCACCCGTGTGGTGCCAGCTCCTCCCTACCGTCCTCTGTCCGTCGGGGGTGGGTTTGCCCTTGGCTGTGACGTCCTAGAGGACAGAGAGTCTGAGCTGGAGTACTGGGCAGCCGCTTCTCCCTCTCTGTGTGCCATGCTGCTCTCCCCTGAGGGAGACCCCGACGCCCTTGACATACCGACTCTTCGCACTTACCGCGAGGCAGTGTCAGGGGCGTGGGCCTCTCAGTGGAAAGCGGCTATGGACTCAAAGTTGGCGTCTTGGAGATCCACAGGCACCTACGTCGACGCAGTTCCCCCTCCCAGGGCGAACGTAGTCGATGGCATGTGGCTCTTCAAGGTGAAGCGGCCGCCTGGAGCACCGCCGGTGTTCAAGGCGCGCTACGTGGCTAGGGGCTTCAGTCAGCGTGAGGGAGTTGACTTTTTCCAGACCTTCGCCCCGACCCCGAAGATGACTACTCTTCGGGTGTTACTCCACATAGCAGCGCAGCGAGACTACGAGCTGCACTCCCTCGACTTCTCCACTGCGTTCCTCCAGGGCCGACTGCACGAGGAGATCTGGCTGCGCCGTCCTCCTGGCTTCACTGACACCTTCCCACCTGGGACCCAGTGGAGCCTGAGGCGACCAGTCTACGGTCTCCGGCAGTCGCCCCGTGAGTGGCACGACACTCTTCGCTCCACGCTTCGTGACCTTGGGTTCAGCCCGTCCTCCGCCGACCCGTCGCTGTTTGTTCGAGCGGGTTCTACCCCTTTCTTTATCCTTGTCTACGTCGACGACTTGGTGTTTGCTACAGCAGACAGGGCAGCCCTGGCTCAGGTGAAGTCCGAACTGCAGAAGAGACACAAGTGCACTGACCTGGGTGAGCTGCAGCGTTACCTTGGCTTGCAGATCACCCGGGACAGAGCCGCTCGCACCATCACACTGACGCAGTCACACATGGTGCAGCAGGTCCTTCGACGGTTCGACTTCCAGTTCTCCACCACTCAGCCCACTCCTCTTGCTGTTGACCACAGACTCACGGGCCCCTTTCCTGACGATCCCTTTGAGTCCAGTGGACCCTACGCAGAGCTGGTGGGCTGCCTCATGTACCTGATGACTTGTACTCGACCGGACCTCGCCTTTCCCCTCAGCATCCTTTCTCGCTTTGTTGCGACTGGGAGACACCGCCCTGTCCACTGGACAGCTGCTGTGAGGGTAGCGAAGTACCTGGCGACTACATCAGGCATGGGGCTTGTGCTTGGAGGGACTCAGCCAGTGGCGTTGACTGGTCACTGCGACTCTTCCTACGCTGACGACGTGGAGACTCAGCGTTCGACTCAGGGTTACTGCTTCAGTCTGGGAGCTGGTGCTGTGTCGTGGAGGTCTACACGGTCGTCGTCTGTGGCTACTTCCAGTGCAGAGACGGAGATCTACGCTGGTGCCATGGCGGCACAGGAGCTTCGCTGGTTGACCTTCTTGCTCGCCGACCTTGGTGAGCGGCCTCGCTCTGCACCGACCTTGTACGCTGACAACAGGGCCATGATCCTCCTGTGTCGAGAGCCTCGACTGGAGAGCAGAGTGAAGCATATTGACGTGAGGTACTTCCTCCTGCGAGAGCTGCAGCGACGCGGCCAGGCACGCCTGGACTTTGTGGCCTCAGAGGCCAACACTGCAGACGTCTTCACCAAGGCCTTGGCGCTTGGTGACCACCACAGGTTCTGTGTGCAGTTGGGGCTTGTTGAGGTAGGCCCTAGGTTGCTGTAGTCCTGTTGCTTCCTCTGCTTGTTGTGCTTTGTATTTATATGCTAGTGAACTCTTGAACTGGCCTTGTGGCCGCTTGCTTGCGCTCGGAATTTGTGTGGTGTCCTTGAGATCCACCCTGAGCTCGTCTTGGTTCTTGCTTTGACTGGTCTTGTGACCGTTTGTTCACCTTGCTTGCTTTGATGCCCCTCACTTAGCCTATGGGGGTGTGTCAAATGTTGAACATTTATATGATAGGCTGTAGTGAGTTGCACTGTAGGGGGTACAGTTTCTAGGGTTGCTTATTTGTACCCCGTTCGTTTCTATTTTAATTATTCCGTTGCTAACCACTCTTGAGAGAAAAGGACATGGCTCTAACACAATTTGGATTGATCATCACATGGTACCGTAATTGTCATGGGGTGCCAGAACGGTCAGCTGTCCTGACAGAATTCACGTCACAGCTTCTCCCACATGTTTATTTGTCAACATGCTAGACTGACAGGCTTACGGGGTTGGTCCACCGATGCTTGCTAATAAGCCCGGACTTGACAACACAACCAAATGGTTTTGCTGTTTTCCCACTATACTTGGTTTGACTGAGCATATTGCATACAATCGGGCACAGTTTCTAACAATCTCAGCAAGAAACAGGGGTACACGAGAACAAATATCAGAAAATACACCACAGGCTTCTAGACTGCTTAGTCACATATTTCCTTCACCTACCCTGGCACCAACTTCACAGGTGCAGACCTAGCCTAAAAAAAGTCTTCTTATCAAGCATGAGACAGCCCTGCAAGCAACCTCTCAGGTACCCAAGTGCCTTCAAGCAAATCAAGTCCTCTGAGAGAGTCCCCACCTGTAGGCAACCAGCCGAGTCAAGGCTGTTAGATTAGCCGCAGACCCGCAGGAAGGGACGAGATGGGGGTGTATTGGAGTATCAGCTGGTGCAGCTGGGTGAGAGATTCGGGGAGGTGCTGCAACGAGTGGCAGTGAATCAGCTCCAGTTTACGCAGCCGAGACAAGCGGCTCATGCCCTGGGGTAGTGACGTCAGCAGAGGTGCATTCACCCTCAATGACGTCAGCGAGTTGAGCTCCGCTATGCTTCCTGGTAGCTCCTCTGATGACCTAAGAAACAGCGTCAGCTGCCGCAGTTGCGGCAACGCTGCCCCCAGATTTCCCGAGAGGTTGCACATTCCGGGAGCCTCTATCAGCAAGCTGCGCAGGCGAGGGAGAAACATCAAGGTGAGGGGGACTGGGAGCTCTTGGCTGCCACGGTCCAACCGCATCTCCAGCTGCTCTAGCTGCTGCAGACACGACAGCCTGCTGCTCCCTGCAGGCCCACATATCACCCCAACACAGTTCAGCTTCAGCACCCTCAGCTGCGACAGATGGGAGATGTCCACTAAGTGGGAAGAGCCTTGCATGAAAAACCCCAAGCAGAGGGTTCTAAGAGAATTGGGTAGACCGTTAGGGGGACTAGTCAGCTGCGGACATGCTGTGAGCTCGAGCCTCTGAAGCCCAACGAGCATATCCAACCTCGAAGGTACTTCTGAAAGTGAACTGCAGCCTCTGACCTCCAAGGCCTGCAGCCTCATAAGCCGTGTCAGCGAGCTAGGAAGCGTGGTGATTGAGCAATCAATGATCTTCAGCTCCCGTAGCCTACTAATCTCTCCCAGGGCCTGTGGAAGCTCGTTCACACCGTACTGCTCCAGCTCAAGGCTCGTCAGTGAAGACAGCTGGGTGAAGGAAGCCGTATTCCGGGAGATGTGCAGCCTGAAAGCTTCCAGGCTTGCGAGGGCCCCGACGTTCTCTCGCAAGGTAAGACCTCTTAAGCTTGAGAGGCAGAGCGCCTTGAGGGCCGTGAGGCGGCAGAACCCTGCTCGCAGCTGCAGAAGCTCGTTGCAGTCAACTATTGAGAGTGCCTCGAGAGACATGAGATGGCAGAAGGAAGGAGGGAACTCGGTGAAACGCAAACCCTCCAGCGCCAGCAGTTTGAGGGTTGGCAGATGACCAAAGTTGCTGGGTAAGGTGAAGCTGTCAGAATTAGCGACAATGAGAGTTTCCAAACGGGTTAGAGAAGTGAAACCTTCGAGCAGGTGGCTGAAATAATAGCACTTGCGAATTGTCAGGTTGCGCAGGCATGGGAGCAAGTCTCCTATGCAATCGGGAAAGGTCTCCAGCTCACTGCATTCAATGATGAGCAGCTCCTCTAGCGCGGTGAACGGAGATGCTGATGAGAAGACGGTGCGCAAGACAGGAGAAGACATGGAAAGGTTGAGCGATTTCAGGGAAGACGGCAGTGTCATGCTTGCAGCGCCCATCAACTGATGGCTGTGAGGAGCAACGGTGGAGGGATGGACAAGTCGTGGGAGGAGGGTGGACAGTTGCTGATTGCTCGTGGAAAAGCTGATGTAGAGGGTGGTAAGGGCAGTGAGGCTGGTGAAACTAGAATTCTCCAACACTGAAGCGTCGGTGAGAAGAAGGGTGTGGAGACGCCTCAACTGAAAGACGGAATCTGGCACCTCCGTTCCTTGGTGAAGGCAGGCGAGGGTAATATGCTCCAAATTGAGAAGCTTTTGGAAAAATCGATCCAAGCCCTCGGTGGTTATCGGACGCTCCATTCTATGATAGTGCTTGACCAGGCCGTGGCTGGAGGGTGCTTGCCGCACGAAGCTCCTTCCCACGTGGAGCGAGACCAGCTTCGGGCATGTCGAAGCGAGGTGAGCGAGAAAGGCATTGTCGAGCGTCTCAACGCTGTTGTCGCTGATATGCAGATGGGTGAGATTGGGGAAGCACGTGACGGCGGCTGAGAGATCTTCGCGGGACACCAAAAGGTTTTCTTTCACGGAGACCGTGGTCACGTGCAGCTTCGCTATACGTCGCCAACGGCGGCAGACGGACGCAATGAGGAGATTCCGAGCCACGTCTGAGGCTGGAGGAGGGGCGGGTACCGCCATGACTACTGGCCGAACATCAGTGGTGAAGCTGTCCAAGTGAGATTCGCGTGGAGCCGGTTGCTCTATGGAGCGCGAAAAGATCCTAAGAAGGATATCGTCAGTTAGACTACCGATGCTTGGAGACTCCATGTCGGGAACTTGAGATACTAGGGACGCTGGAAGACGGTGCTAAGGTATACCATGCACTTGAGAACGTGCCCTTAAAAGGGGGTCAAGAGGAGAAAAAGAGACTGCAAGATATTAGTGGTTTGTAAGCAATCGCTTACCATGCTCGGCGTACCTAGACAGCATCAATCGAACATGAGCGGGGTGTTGAAACCAAAACGGTCGGCTGCGCGTCGCATGGAAGGAGTCCGTCGAGTGAGTGCCTAGCGACAGTTGTGCTGTGGATTGCTATGTACTGGTTCCCTCGAAATTAGGGTTTGCGTTGTTCACTGTCAGCAGCTGGTGAGAGTGGAGGCATAGAGGTGTTGCTGGGCTGGTTTAGGGCGTGTTTAAGACAGAACGGAAACAAACGACGGCCCTTGGGTTTCTCGAAGCGAGACCAAGCGGGTTTCCATTCCCTCCGCCAAGTTCTCGCTGTAATTCAATTTCAGGTAACCAGTTCATCTGCAGTCGATTCGTGTCTGGTGACGAAGTTTGATTTCTGTAACTTTTTTCAGGGGAGTCGATATCGTTCGTACAGGGAAACACGGCCGGTCGCGCCCATAAATGAAAATAAGATGTTTGTTTTCGAGTTCGATTTTGTTGAAACGATCCAGGAATTACGATCTGGATCGAACTGGCGAAGCACCTGCTCCACTTCTCCAGCTTCAGCTCGGCAGAAACTTGTTGCTCCGTCAGCTTCGTTCGCGATGAAAATTGCTACGCGTAAACCGCAAGCGAGAGCGATACAACAACGTTGATGTTACACTTGAGACAGATATTAGAGGAAATGACGAATCTCCCTGTTTGTTTGTTTCCAATTCCTTTCGACAGTGGTTTTGACAGAGCAACGCTTTGCGATCGCGTCCAATTCCTTGGGTCATATTATTTTGCCATTTCCCCTTTTTGAGTCCAAAATACATATTGGTTTTGTTTTACAGGATACCTAAAATAATCCCATTCGCGTGGATCGCAAAAGCTCAGCTCGGGACAAAAAAAATATATACCCTCTTGGAAGGCATACCACGTAAAGGACATCAACCCTAAACACCATGAGGCAAGGTGTTTAGGGTTGATGCCTCCCAAATAGCTTGTCATCCGATTGGGTTTTAGTTTTGCCACTGGCCCCTATACTGAAACCAGGTAGACTTCGCAATTGCCCTTTTATACATCTGGTCACGAAAAATGGGAAATAACGAGATCGACTGCCCGTGGGAATCGGACGCGATCGCGGAACGGGATTGCTGTCAAAACCACTGCCCGTTGGAATTGGAAACAAGAAAGCACCGCGATCCGTCATTTCCTCCAGATATTAGCATCTAGGCAGCGCATCAGCTACACTCTACCACGAGCGGCACGACCGGGGTGATACCCTCGAGCCGCTTGAATTGACGTCGAGTTACTGCCGCGCACAGCTTTTCGTAGGCAGCAGAGTCGCTCCCCGCGAATCTCGGATTGTTCTCACACGGCTCAGTCCCTCTTTTCGGCGTCTTGTCCTCCGCGGTGCCGTGAGTCACGCTGCTGCCGGTCACGCGATCATTGTGAATTTTTCGAGGCGTCGGAGATGCCGTGGATCCATGCTTCTATACTCTCGGGGACGGTGAAAGGGTTACGAGGGCGCGTTGATGCTCATGCTCATGGTACGCTGCAGCTTTCGTGTTTCACTACTCCCTGTATGCGCTCACGACACGACAGCGAGCCATTTTTTAGCTGGTGCTAAGATGGGTTCTGTCTACGACAGTCACGGAAGATGGCCTTTCTGGGGCATGATTGAGTCTCTACCTCCTCTCTCTCATCCTGCCTCTGCCCCACGAGCCCCCCCCCCCCCCCCCCCCCCCCCCCCACCCCCCACCCCCCCCTTCGCCTCCGCGTCCCCGAGCCTGAGAGCCTGCACCACTCCGCGTGCCGCCTGGCGTTGAAATCGGCCGGCGGCGAAGAGATCGACGCGCGCGGAGCCGCCTTCCGGCACGGGGTTCTTGTTCTCGGACTGCGCACTCCTTTTCCCCCTTTCCCCCCTCTTTTGTTTTCCCCTCGTCTGGTCCTCAATTTCCGCTTCTCTGCTCGCACCCCCCCACAGCGAGAAATTTCGAAGACCGGTAGCACACGTGGGAACATGGGAGCCAGAACACATGCCACTTGAGCGATCACACGCCTATTGTTCGTCAAGGCTGTGAATGAACCTGTAAGGCTGGGGTGTGTGTAACTGCGCCTCATCCGTGCACACTTGCACAGCAGAGAGGGTGTAGCTTCTTGGTCTGGACATGCTTACGAGAGAATGAGGTCGTTTTCTTGTTCCTTAGGGCATTCTTCAATATAACCCTAAACCTTAGCCATGTAGACATGTCAATGATCTCAGAGTCTCAGTCTATGTGCGCATAGCTGGTCGGAGTGCATAGGCATCCGACCGACCAGCTCGGCGCCCATTACCAAGTCATGCATGGCGGCTCTTCCCAAGTCTGTGCATTATTACAGCCAAAGCTAGAGTAGATGTCGTCAGTGCGTTGCTTGTGAAGTCATGCATGGCGGCTCTTCCCACATTGGCGCCTCGCAGTCACCTTGAATCCGTAGCCTGATGCTCAAGCCTCCCGCTCCTCGTGACGCTCAATCTGAGTGTCATGGTGTCAACCACACAAACATACCCTCTCCCTCCCACCATACATACCCTCTCCCTCCCACCATACATACCCTCTCCCTCCCACCATACATACCCTCTCCCTCCCACCATACATACCCTCTCCCTCCCACCATACATACCCTCTCCCTCCCACCATACATACCCTCTCCCTCCCACCATACATACCCTCTCCCTCCCACCATACATACCCTCTCCCTCCCCCCATACATACCCTCTTCCTCCCCTCATACATACCCTCTCCCTCCCCCCATACATACCCTCTCCCTCCCCCCATACATACCCTCTCCCTCCCCCCATACATACCCTCTCCCTCCCCCCATACATACCCTTCTCCTCCCCCCCCCCCACCTTCTGCAGCCACCCCCCCAGCGCTGCACCTGTTGCGGCCCGCGGATTTGCAGCCTTATGGTGTGGCCGCATGGCTCTCACCCATGCGCTGTCCCTTCCTCTCCCCTTCCCACCTCCTCCAACCCTTCCCCTGTCTTTCCACCAGCTCCGCACCGCATCTGCGCCTCCTGCACTGGTTCCTGGCCCGAGGTTTCCGCCCCTGTTCAACCAGGCAGGCAGAGGCTGCTGACGTGGCGGAGGTGGGCGGGATGCGCTGGCGGTGCAAGCGGCTTTGGCGGCAGCAGTGGCAGCGGCAGGGAGCACGGGGAGGAGGGTGGGCAGCAGGGCGAATGGGCGGTGAAGGGAGGCTGCTGATAGGGCTGGCGCTGGCGAGCAGTTGAGAAGCTCGAAGTCGCAAAGGTGAGACGCCGTGAGGGATGGAGATCCGTGTGAGATTCACTTGGGAGAAAGGGGGGGAGGAAGGGGTGGTGAAGAAAAGGGGGTAGAAGGAGGGGGGGCAAAGGAAAGGCGGGAGAAGGAAGTGGGGAGAGGGGGGGTGAAGTTGATGCATGTGAGAGGCTGCGTGTGAGAGGCTGTGAAGTCGCTGTGAGGGGGGGATGATGTATGTTAGAGTCACTCAAAGCACTGGGAGGGGCTGCCGAAGGCAGGGCTGCTGATGGAGCTGGCAGAGGCTAGAGAGGATGCCTTGGAGCTCCGAGGGGAGTTTAGAGGATTTGCCACAGCACTCTGCAACTCTCCCTTCCCACCCACCCATGCCCAGCCCAGCTCCCATCTCCCACCCCTCACCTCATCTTTGACCCAATCCAACTCTGCTCCGCTCCTGTGCTGTTCCCATGCCCTCTCGCACCCACTAGCTCAGCCACACTGCTTGCCCAGGCACCATCTCAGGACTATCTCAAACCTATTCCCTCTCGTTACCCTCACGCACTCCCCTTTCGCTTGCCCCTTCCCCCTCCCTTATCCACACCCCCCTAACCCCCCTCCCTTTACCTGTACCCCCTCCCTCCCCCCTTACTTCCTCCCCATCCCCTTACCCATCCCCCTCCCCTTAACCGCTTCCTTTCCCCCTTACCCATTCCCGCTTCTGTTATCCCCTCCCTTCCCCTTCCCGTTTCTGCTTCTCATTCCGCCCCCCAACCCCTCCCGCACCCCTCCCCTGATCCCAATTGTCTACCGTGACTCCACGCTCTTTCGTGCCCCGACTTGCGGCTCGTCCCCGTCGAATCTACATGGGCCTATTGGAATGGCTGGGCCTGCGGGGTGCGCAGGCATCACCACAGGTGCCAAGCCGGACAATGACCTCGCCTCACCTTGCCTTGCCTTGCCTCGCTGGTATGATGCCTCGCACCCGCCGCTGCACCACTGCCAGTAGCGCCGCTGCCGGAAGCGTACTGATTGCACCCCCAGTTGTGCGCCTGTGTCTCCTGCACCCTCACTTGTCGTCCGCCTGCCCAAACCCCAATGCTATCCTTCCCACCATGGCACCGCTCCCTTCCCTCCTTCCCCTCTCTCTCAAACGGTCCTTATATTGATTCAAACGTGTACAGGTCAACTAATGAGAGTGAGAGAGCAAGGAAAGTCAATCTCTGCTATCCTTTGTAAATCTCTATCCTCTAAACTGTTCTTTCCTTCTCCAATACCCTCATCTTCCTCTTCTCCCCTGAACTCCCTCAACCGCTCCCCTGCTCACTCCCTTCTAGCTGGCTTCATTTCATTTTCTATTGAGGATTATCATCACGCTGCTCCTTTTCCCTCCTTTCCCCGCCCCTCTCACGCTTTCCAGCTCCGCACCTACTCCCACGCCACGGATTCCCGCCATATGGGCGAGCACACTGTTCACGGGCAACCAGTGGCCTTGTGGGCTGCTGAGTGCACGCCGTGCCAAGATATTCTCTCTTCAACACACCTTACTGCTGATGTTCACTGGTACTGTTCATTGCTGGCTGGGTGAAGACGGTGCGTTGGTGGTGCAAGGGGCTAATCGTGGCTCACCAGTGGGTCACTACTGGGTCAGTGGCAGGTCACTCTCACATCACTCTCGGATCACTCTCGTTATTGTCCCCCCATCCCCATCCCCTCACACTTTCCCATCCCCGTCCCTTTCTCCACTCCCATCCACTTCTCCATCCCCTCCCCCATCCCCTTCTCCACCAACGTACCCCTCCCCATCCCCATCCTCATCCCCATTGCCATCCCCCACTTCCGCAGGTGTGCATAGTGCAGCCAGCAGCAGCTCCAACCCGCCCTGCTCTCTCCCTCTCTCTCCCTCCGGCAGGGAACGGATGCTACAGTTGTGCATATTCCACCCAGTAGCATCCGTTCCCTGCCGCCTCTACACTCACACACCCATCAGCGATCACTCATCTCTACCGAATCAGGTCGGTGCTCTCATTTGCCTCCTGTGGCGCCACCACTGCCCTTTGCACCCCATTGTCTCTTGTCTCAACCATTTAATGTGGAGGAGACAGTCCCTTGATTGCATCATCCCATCACATCACACTAATACCCCATAATCCCAGCACACTACCCAAATACTCCATAACCCCATCTCGACAACTTCATTACCTGATTGACCCATCGCCGCAAATAAGCCTCACATGCTTAGTGCCAGTGGTCTAGTGGTAGAATAGCACCCTGCCATCAGCACGGTGCAGACCCGGGTTCGATTCCCGGCTGGCACAGAACTGATTCCTTGCTTTTGCCGCGAACTGGACTATCCCATGGGACGCCCAACAAAGCCCAGCCATCAACCGCTTGTTAGCAGTCCCCCCGTGCATAGGCTTCGGCCCTCACTACAATGGTTGGTGTTAAATAGCTTTGGCAGGTCACTGCCTGCCCTGCCCCTGCATGTGCCCACCTCCTGTGGTTGCATGAGGCACAAGCTACGAAGCAGGAGCTAGGTAGGAGAAAGGAGACTCGTATTCGTGCATCTTCATGTTCCTCCCTTTTGAAGGGCCTCAACAATTGAACCAAAGAGCCGGGGACCCACACTTATGCACTTTCATGTACCTCGCTCTCTCCACCTACTCCCAAACGGCCCCACTGCACAACCCTCCCCACCTCTTTCACCGCAACATGGCTGGCCGCTACAGCCTGCAGCTCCCTTCTCCCGCTCTTGCCATATTCATTCCTCCCTCCCTCCCCTGCATCACCCCACCCCTCCCACCAACCCACACCTTTGCAGCTCTCCCGCCCATTATGTGATGGCAGGGCGCTACAGCATGAACCTCCGCCCTCCTCAATTTCCCTCCCTTATTGCATCCCTCATCATTTCTTCCTCCTTCCCTACCCTCCATTCCCCTATGCAAAAACCCATATCTCCAGCGCATCTTGGTGGGGCGCTATGGTGTGCACTGCAGCTTGCACCTCCCCCCACCTTACCTCGCTTTCCCCATATCATTGCTTTCCTTGTTGTTTCTTCCTCCTTCCCTACCCTCCATCCCACCATCCAAAACCCTACAACATACCACCTCGTCCAGTGAATTTTGGCATGCTATGGTATGCTGTGCACTGCAGCTCTCTCTGCCCTCCCTTGCCTGCGCATGTTCGTTGCTTCCCCTCCCCTTTATCACCGCCCCACTCCCCCCACTCCCGTTCTTTGTTCCACATGTGCCAGCGCATGCTGGGGTGCTATGGAGTGCACCTCGCCCTCCTTTTTGATGAATCAAGACGTGCATGGCAGCGCATAGGGCAACGCCATCCCTTGCATCCCATAATCTTTTGTCGTCAAAATCGCTTGAAACCCTTTCTTGTCAAAAGCTGCCCCACTGAAATCATCTTTGTGACTTAGCAGCATACACAAGCTCCCCACTCACCGCTACCCTACTCTCTACGTTGCTCCAACAGCCCCTATTCTGCAGCCACAGGGCCACATCACCACTCCCATCTGCTTTTCCCTCTAACACCAACAGGCCCTATTCGGCAGTCACAAGGCCAGGATGATCGCCCTTTGAGCAGTGAGCAGGGTCTCTCAACACTGGACTGGCTCTCGTTAACTAGGCACCTTTCCAGGCAGTGTGCTCTGCCCCCTCTCATTCTTCATCTTCCTTGCCTTCCCTGCCTTCTTTCCTGCTCTTCCCTGCACTGCCTCCCCGCCCTGCCTTCCATAACCCCTTCCTCTCTGCAGGCCCTGGGTTGGCCCAAGGCCAAGATCACCACTCCCATCACAGCCTCTCTCGCTTGGCATTAGCCAATTTCTCCGGCAGGCAGTGTGCCTCTTCTGGGCCTTCATCATCCCAGCCTTCCACAACAGAGGAGCGGCCTTCGCTGGACAAGATCTTGTCATTTGGCACAAGGCGATTTGTGCTCGCATGGATGCTGCTGAGCACCGGTCTGCTGCTGTTACTGCCCAAGAAAGGCGGCATGTTCCCTTACCTATGGATGTTAGGGCGTGTCATGATTTGGCATGGCACCTAACATCATTCCTTCCAAACTGCAACTGCTGGTTCCGTGCACCTCCTGTCCAAAGGAGCTATCCCTAGCCCACATGTCTTACCAGAACAGCACCAACACCTGCGCCAAGTATTGTAAATATCTGATGAAGATGCATGCATCTCTGCTGCTACAGAGTGTAGTAAGTGGCGATTCCATCCAATCCAAATCCATCCCTGCTGCACTACACAATACCTTGCACAACATTTGTCCATAGCATGTTATCCCATAGCCCTACTCTGCTCTACATACTGTAGCAGCACGCGCACCATTTATAGCACTGTTCCAACTGGTACAGAAAGAATCAATACAAGCTTCCTGCAGATTGGTTGGCAGAGGCCAGCGTTGTGTGCATCGAGTCGTTGGTAGTCACACGATGTCCCCAAAACAAGAAACCTGTGTCAAGACTAAGGCAAGGGAATGATGTGATTAGGTCAAGGTTGGGGTACAAGACTAGAGTGTCGAGAAAGTTTCTGTACCCCCTAAGGCTAGCCCCAATATAGCCTAGATAATAATATGCATATGTTTTGACACACCCCCATAGGCGAAATGGGGGATAGCCAGAGCAAGCAATGGTCACAAGACCAGTCAAGAGAAGAAACAAAACACAGCTCAGGGTGGATCACAACGTCACCACACACACTGAGCACAAGCAAACGGCCACAAGGCCAGTCCACATGCAGAGGTATATAAGCAACAAGAACAGCACAGTGATCTCTATCTAGCAAGAGCAAGCATGCAGGTATATATATATATAGATCACAGTACAAGCAGAGACTACAGCAAGTGTGGAAACGTAGGCACAAGGCCCAACTAAGTACAAAAGCGCTGATGGTCACCAGACGGAAGTGCCTTGGTGAATATATCAGCAGTGTTGGCCCGAGTGGCCACGTGAGCAAGGCGAAGCTGACCCCGCTGCTGCAACTCTCGAGCCAGGAAGTAACGCAGA